ACAGAACGAAGCACATCGCCCTGCGGTACTTCCTTGCTCGAGAGCTGCAGCAGCGTGGTCAGCTTCGTCTGCGTTACGTGGCCACTGAGGCCAACCTTGCGGATGTGTTCACCAAGGCGCTTCAGCCTTGTGACCATCAGCGTTTCTGTACTCTTCTAGGCCTTGTGCCTGCTGGACCCCACTTGCTTACTTCTTGACTCTGCTTGTACTGTGATCTTTATATATATGCCTGCATGTTTACACTTGCTAGGTTGTTATCACTGTTTCTCCTGTTATATTATCAACCTGCATGTGAACTGGTCTTGTGACCACTTGCTTGTGCTCGGAATTTGTGTGGTATCCTTGAGAACCACCCTGAGCTTGTTTTGCTTTGCTTTGACTGGTCTTGTGACCCCTTGCTCTCCCCCACTTTGCCTATGGGGGTGTGTCGAACATTATATATGTTGTGCTTGTTTAGGCTACAGTGGGTTAGCCTATAGGGGGTACACAATTCTAGGGTTAGGTACTTGTACTCGTTTCACTGCTAGTTCATTCATTCCTCGTTCAGTTATTCTGACAGCTAGCAACCCTTCCACGCCCTTGCTGGCTTGGCAAGAGGCCTAGACAAGCGCAGCCACGTGACCTGGTAGAAGAAAAACGCTCACTGCGAGCGCTTCTAGCCTCAAAATGCGCTAGGATCCGCACATGTGGAGGAAGTGCAGGGGGCGCCTTTCATTCTCAAGGGCCGATGACCAATAATGCTCGCAACCCTTCCACGCCCTTGCTGGCTTGGCAAGAGGCCTAGACAAGTGCAGCCACGTGACTTGGTAGAAGAAAAACGCTCACTGCGAGCGCTTCTAGCCTCAAAACGCGCTAGGATCCGCACATGTGCAGGAAGTGCAGCGGGCGCTCTTCATTCTCAAGGGCCGATGACCAATGATGCTCGCAACCCTTCCACGCCCTTGCTGGCTTGGCAAGAGGCCTAGACAAGCGCAGCCACGTGACCTGGTAGAAGAAAAACGCTCACTGCGAGCACTTCTAGCCTCAAAATGCGCTAGGATCCGCACATGTGGAGGAAGTGCAGCGGGCGCTCTTCATTCTCAAGGGCCGATGACCAATGATACTCGCAACCCTTCCACGCCCTTGCTGGCTTGGCAAGAGGCCTAGACAAGTGCAGCCACGTGACCTGGTAGAAGAAAAACGCTCACTGCGAGCGCTTCTAGCCTCAAAACGCGCTAGGATCCGCATATGTGGAGGAAGTGCAGCGGGCGCTCTTCATTCTCAAGGGCCGATGACCAATGATGCTCGCAACCCTTCCACGCCCTTGCTAGCTTGGCAAGAGGCCTAGACAAGCGCAGCCATGTGACCTGGTAGAAGAAAAACGCTAACTGCGAGCGCTTCTAGCCTCAAAACGCGCTAGGATCCGCACATGTGGAGGAAGTGCAGCAGGCGCTCTTCATTCTCAAGGGCCGATGACCAATAATGCTCGCAACCCGTTCACGCCCTTGTTGGCTTGGCAAGAGGCCTAGACAAGCGCAGCCACGTGACCTGGTAGAAGAAAAACGCTCACTACGAGCGCTTCTAGCCTCAAAATGCGCTAGGATCCGCACATGTGGAGGAAGTGCAGCGGGCGCTCTTCATTTTCAAGGGCCGATGACCAATGATGCTAGCAACCCTTCCACGCCCTTGCTGACTTGGCAAGAGGCCTAGACAAGCGCAACCACGTGACCTGGTAGAAGAAAAACGCTCTCTGCGAGCGCTTCTAGCCTCAAAACACGCTAGGATCCGCACATGTGGAGGAAGTGCAGCGGGCACTCTTCATTCTCAAGGGCCGATGACCAATGATGCTCGCAACCCTTCCACGCCCTTGCTGGCTTGGCAAGAAGCCTAGACAAGCGCAGCCACGTGACCTGGTAGAAGAAAAACACTCACTGCGAGCGCTTCTAGCCTCAAAATACCTTTAAACCCTAAACCCTTGTATTTTAATAATACTAGGTTCTAACCTTTTCGATCCACATAATTTGGGGGACTTCAGAGTTTCAGCTACGCCTTGTACCTGCACACAAGCGTGCATACTGACCGAACCAACCAACACAGTATTTTCTATGTAGAAATACAACGAGTATCACATATGTTTCCATTTTCCTATATAATATACCATTCCCCACCCCCCTATTACGACGTTCTTGTCAGAATCCTAGTCACTAACCACTGAGATAAAAGGGCTTGTTTGTGTAGCGGGTGAGTGCGCCCATAACCCCCCAGGCCAACGTGCCTGTAACCCTTCCCTAGGATCAATCGGGGATCACCAGTGGACCTCTGATAGTTCTAACCTTTTAGATCCACATAATTTGACAGATATAGACATTCCAAACGTGCATGGTACCTGTAGAACAGGCGCGCATGCCGACCAAACTGACCAGCGCATTACTTATGTTTGTAGAGACAGTTGGTACCATTTTCTTGCCAGTCTACTAGATTAGGCCTTGTACTTTAATAATACTAGGTCTTACCTTTTCGATCCATATAATTTTGGAGATTTCAGAGTTTCAGCTACGCCTTGTACCTGCACACAAGCGTGCATACTGACCAAACCAACCAACGCATCATTTTCTATGTATAAATACAACAAGTATCACATATGTTTCCTTTTTCCTTTATAATATACCAATCCCCACCCCCCCACCACGTTCTAACCTTTTAGATCCACATAATTTGACAGATATAGACATTCCAAACGTGCATGGTACCTATACTGCAGGCGCGCATACCGCCGACTAAACTGACCAGCGCATTACTTATGTTTGTAGAGACAGTTGGTACCATTTTCTTGCCAGTCTACTAGATTAGGCCTTGTATTTTAATAATATAAATAGGTTCTAACATTTTCAATCCACATAATTTGGAGATTTCAGAGTTTCAGCTATGCCTTGTACCTGCACACAAGCGTGCATACTGACCGAACCAACCAACGCATTATTTTCTATGTAGAAATACAACGAGTATCACATATGTTTCCCTTTTCCTATACCATTCCCCACCCCCCCACCACGTTCTAACCTTTTAGATCCACATAATTTGACAGATATAGACATTCCAAACGTGCATGGTACCTGTACTACAGGCGCGCATGCCGACCAAACTGACCAGCGCATTACTTATGTTTGTAGAGACAGTTGGTACCATTTTCTTGCCAGTCTACTAGATTAGGCCTTGTACTTTAATAATACTAGGTTCTAACCTTTTCGATCCACATAATTTGGGAGATTTCAGAGTTTCAGCTACGCCTTGTACCTGCACACAAGCGTGCATACTGACCGAACCAACCAACGCATTATTCTCTGTGTAGAAATACAACGAGTATCACATATGTTTCCATTTTCCTATATAATATACCATTCCCCACCTGTTAAACTGCATTATGCTTGTAGGCTGTAGTGGGGTAGCCAATATGGGGTACAACTCCAACTAGGGTTTGCTACTTGTACCCAACTGTTTCATTCAATGCACCATTCTTGCCTAGTTCTTCTGAAATGGTATCAGAGCAGGAGGTCCCTAGGACCTACCGACCGTTTTTTTAGGGCCCACCACCGCTCGCATGCGGTTACCACGCTACCCCGTGCCCTAGCCTCGTAGCGCCCTCGTTAGCGCCCTCGCGCGCCCCTCGTTAGCGCCCTCGCGCGCCCCTTCGTTAGCGCCCTCGCGCGCCCCTCGTTAGCGCCCTCGCGCGCACCCTCGTTAGCGCCCTCGCGCGCCCCTTCGTTAGCGCCCTCGCGCGCCCCTCACTAGCGCCCTCGCGCGCCCCTCACTAGCGCCCTCGCGCGCCCCTCGCCGAGCCGCCCGCTCGCAGCCCGCCGCCCCTCGCTGCCCGCTTCGCGGCCCGCTCGCTACGCAGCCCGCCCGCCCGCTCGCTGCCCGCTTCGCGGCCCGCCCGCTTCGCAGCCCGCTCGCTCGCTGCCCGCTTCGCGGCCCGCCCACTTCGCAGCCCGCCCGCCCGCTCGCTGCCCGCTTCGCGGCCCGCCCGCCTCGCAGCCCGCTCGCCCCGCTCGCCCCGCTTCGCGCCCGCCCGCCCACTTCGCAGCCCGCCCGCCCGCTAGCTGCCCACTTCGCGGCCCGCCCGCATCGCAGCCCGCTCGCCCCGCTGCCCGCTTCGCAGCCCGCCCGCCCGCCCGCTGCCCGCTTCGCGGCCCGCCCGCCTCGCAGCGTCGCCCGCCCGCCGTGCTGCCCACTCGCAGCGCCGCCTGCCCGCCGCGCTGCCCGCTTCCCGGCCCGTCCGCCGAGCTGCCCGCTTGCAGCGCCGCCTGCCCGTAGCGTCGCCCGCCCGCCCGCTGCCCGCTTCGCAGCCCGCTCGCCCGTAGCATGCAGCGTCGCCCGCCCGCCCGCTGCCCGCTTCGCAGCCCGCCCGCCCGCTGCCCGCTTCGCAGCCCGCCCGCCGCGCTGCCTGCTCGCAGCGTCGCCTGCCCGTCCCGCAGCCCGCTTCGCAGCCCGCCCGCCTCACTTCCTGCCTGCAGCGCCGCCTGCCCACCGCGCTGCCCGCTTCGTAGCCCGCCCGCTGCCCACTTCGCAGCGTCGCCCGTCCCCCCGCACTGCCCACTCGCCGCGTCGCCCGCCCGCCGCGCTTCCCGCCGAGCTACCTACCTGCAGCGCTGCGGCAGCTTCCTTTGCTCAGTCGCACTGTCGCTATGGCTTCTATCCGCGTGCTGTCGTTCGATGCTGAGGGCCGCCCTGTGCGGTTCACCGCTTGGCTAGATGACCTGCAGCTGTTCCTCCTGAGCGATAGCAAGGAGCATGTGTCGCTCTATGATTACGCGTCTGGTGCTGCGCCTGCCCCTCCTGCCACAGCTGAGCTTAGTGTTCGTTCCCACTGGCAGACTCGTGACGCAGCTGCTCGCCTAGCCATTCGCAGTCACCTGCCGTTAGCTGAGCTAGAGCATTTTGGCGACTGCAAATCCGCTAAGGCCCTGTACGACGCTGTCGTCGCTCGCTACTCCTCGCCTGCCACAGCCGAGCTTAGCCGCCTCATGCTGCCGTACCTGTTCCCCGATCTGTCCACCTTTACTACAGTCGCCGATCTTATCACCCACCTTCGCACTAGTGATGCTCGCCTGCGTGCCGCTCTTCCCACCGAGTTCTGCGCTAAGAACCCCCCTCCACTGTACTGGACACTCCACTTCATAGTCACCCGTCTCCCTGACACCCTCCGCTCAGTTCGAGACCACTTCCTTGCTCGCTGTCCCACTGAGCTCACAGTCGCCCTCCTAGAGGAGCACCTGCTCGCGGCCGAAAAGAGCATTGTAGCTGTCGGTGCTGCTCGTGGCGCTCCTCGCACCCCCATCTTTGAGGGGTGTTCTCCCTCTCCCCTCGCTCCCTCCTACGCTGCTGCTGCTGCTGTTGACTTCCTTGGTGCTGAGTCTGTTGGCGCTGCTTCTACTCCTGGTGGGAGGCGCCGCACCGGCAAGGGCAAGGGGGGCAAAAGTGGTGGTGGTGGCGCTGGGGGGGGAGGAGGTGGGGGAGGTGGGGGGGGAGGCGGTGCTGGAGGGAGCGGTGGCGGGAGCGCTGGTGGGAGTGGGGTCGGTGGTGGAGACGGGGGCGGCGGAGGAAGCAGTGGCAGTAGTGGCGGCGGTGGCGGCGGTGGCGGTGGTGGCGGTGGTGGCGGTGGCGGTCGGAGCGGTGGTAGTGGTGGCGGCGGAGGTCGGAGTGGAGGCACTGGCTCGGGCCAGAGCTCCCAGCAGCAGCAGCGTCCCCAGACGACCCAGCAGCTTCGTGAGTGGCTTGCTCAGCGTGGGACGTCGGGGGCCAGTGCCCGCTGTTCTTATGTCATTCGCACAGGTGACCGCAAGGGACAGACGTGTGGGAGGTTCCACACCCCGTACCGCTGCTTCTCCCGCCTTGACGACGCTTGGCGTGAGGAGATGGGTGCGGATGTTGAGCGCCCCCGCTGGGCTGAGCTCATGAGGGCTGGTGTTGATGTCTTTGCTCTTGACTATGATGCTATTATTGCTGCCATGTATGCATTGACTGTTAGTGCCGAGGGAGACTGTTACTTGTGTGTGCCGCCTGACCCAGGTATAGAGCCTGCTGCCCTGGGTACTAGTGAGTCTGCTCTCTCTGGTATGGTGCCCCCTGTACCTGCTCCCCCCAGTGCTGTCCCGGCTGGTTTCGAGTCTGCTCTCTCAGGTACAGCACCCACACAGACTCCTCTCTCAGGTACCGCACCGGCTGAGGCCTGTCACACCTTCACCCTTGACTCAGGTGCTTCCCGTTGCTTCTTTCGTGACAGTACTGAGCTCACACCACTTCCTGCACCGGTCCCAGTCTCCTTGGCTGACCCCTCTGGGGGCCCAGTCCTTGCCCAGTCCACCACTGTCCTCCCTTGTCCGGCGGTTCCGTCTGGCTCGTTGTCGGGTTTCCACCTCCCCTCGTTCTCGACGAACCTGGTGAGCAACGCTGTCCTCCAGGATCAGTGGGTTGACACCTTTACCCTTGGAGGACAGCGTGTGGCGATCTGCACGTGCTCCAGGACCGGCCGTCACCTGGCTACGTTCACCCGTCGGCCGGGGTCGAGTCTCTACACACTGACCACTGCGTCTCCCCAGGTAGCTGCTGTCGGTCAGGTGTCTGCGTCAGGTCTGGTGGCCCACGCCTGTGAGTGTCGCTCCCTGTCGCACCAGACTCTTCTCTGGCACCACCGCCTGGGTCACCCCTCCTTGCCACGCCTTCGTGGCATGCACCGTCGCCTCCTTGTGTCCGGTCTTCCCAGGTCCCTCCCTCCCCTCCCTGCCTCGCCTGCGCCGCCTTGCCTTCCTTGCGTCGAGGGGCGGCAGCGCGCCGCTCCTCACTCCTCCTCGTTCCCCCCGACAGAGGCTCCTCTGGAGACCCTCCACCTGGACGTGTGGGGCCCAGCCCGCGTTCGTGGTCAGGGCGGTGAGCGGTACTTTTTGCTGGTTGTCGACGACTACTCGCGTTACACCACGGTCTTCCCCTTGCGCACCAAGGGTGAGGTCCCTGCTGTTCTGATCCCTTGGATCCGCACGGTTCGTCTCCAGCTCCGCCGCCGTTTCCGGACGGATCTTCCTGTCCTGCGTCTGCACTCTGACAGAGGTGGTGAGTTTTCCTCCGATCTCTTGAGGACCTTCTGTCAGGCGGAGGGCATCGAGCAGACCTTCACGCTTCCGGACTCCCCACAGCAGAATGGGGTTGCTGAGCGTCGCATTGGCCTGGTCATGGAGGTCGCTCGTACCTCCTTGGTCCACGCGGCGGCTCCCCATTTTCTGTGGCCGTTTGCTGTCCGGTACGCCGCGCATCAGCTCAACCTCTGGCCCCGTGTCTCCTTGCCGGAGACCTCGCCCACACTGCGTTGGACGGGGGAGGTTGGCGATGCGTCGCGCTTCCGGGTGTGGGGTGCTCGTGCCCTTGTCCGCGATATGTCTGCGGACAAGCTCTCCTCCCGCACGCTTCCCTGTGTCTTCCTTGGCTTTGTCCCTGACGCGCCTGGCTGGCAGTTTTACCACCCCACCTCGCGCCGGGTCTTCGCCTCTCAGGATGTCACCTTTGACGAGTCGGTCCCTTTTTACCGTCTCTTCCCCTACCGCACTGCCCCCCTCCCTCCCCCGCCGCTTTTCCTTGCTCCTGGTCCCCCTCCGGTAGACCCCCTTCCCCCTCAGGGTCCTGCTCCCTCAGGTGTCTCTCAGGTAGACCCTCCTCCCGTCGCTGAGCCTGTCGAGGTCACAGGTGACTCAGGTGCTGCTGCGGGTGGTGCTGCTGGGAGTGCTGAGCCTGGGGGTGCTGAGCCTGGGGGTGCTGGGCCTGGGGGAGCTGGGGCTGCAGGTGCTGGGACTGAGGGTGCTGGAGCTGAGGGTACGGTGCCTGAGAGTACGGAGCCTGGGGGTGCTGCGCCTGGGGGTACTGAGCCTGCGGGTGCGAGGCCTGGGAGTGCTGGGACTGCGGGTGCTGGAGCTGAGGGTACTGTGCCTGAGAGTTTGCCGCCTGGGGGTGCTGAGCCTGGGGGTGCTGCGACTGGGGGTGCTGAGCCTGCGGGTACTGAGCCTGCGGGTACTGAGCCTGGGATTGCTGCTACTGAGCCTACGGAGCCTCGGGTTACTGTGTCTGGGGGTGCTCCGGTTCGGGGTGCTGAGCAGTCTCTCACACCGCAGCAGCTTCGTGACTGGTACGTCCGACGCTTTCGCCGTCCTAGTGGCTCGGCTGGAGTTGGGGGTGCTGGAGTTGCTCGTCCTGGGGGTGCTCGTACTGGGGGTACTGGAGCTGCCGGGACTGGCTGTTCTGGGAGCACTGCGACTGGAGCTGCTGGAGCTGGGGACTCTGGCGCTGGCGGTGCTAGCGGAGTTGGAGCTCCCGACTCTGGGGGTGGCGCTGCTGCTGGTGCTGCGGACCCACCTGGTGGAGCTGCTGCTGGAGCTGGGGACCCGGCCGGTGGAGCTGCTGCTGGTGCTGTGGACCCGGACGCTGGAGCTCCTACTGGTGCTGAGGACCCGGCCGCTGGAGTCCCTTCTGCTTCTGGAGACGCTGCGCGGCCGCGACCGTACTTCGTACCGCTCCTTCAGCAGGTTCTTGGGCAGGCTCCTCCTCCTTGTCCTCCTCCCTCCGTAGAGTGTCCTCCGCCTGTCCAGCCGCAGTCACTGTTACCGCCTACCTCGCCTCTCCCTGCTCCCTCTCCTTACACTGGTCCCACAGGAGGTCTTACAGAGCGTCGTGAGCCTGAGTCTCGTCCTGCGTCGCCTGTTCGTCCTGCTCGCACTGGTAGTCGTGTCCGTCGTGAGCGTCCTCCTCCTGTCCCAGGCACTCACTACATGACTCTGCGTCCCTCTACTGCTCCTCGGCGTGTCCCTCTACCGTCTCCTCCTGCGTCCTCTTTGCCTGCCGTTCCGGACCCTGAGTCTGACCGGTATCGCGCTGAGCACCCTACAGTCACGCGTCTCCTTGCTACTGTTGTCACTGACCCCACCTTTGAGTCCTCGGCTGCGTCTGCTCTGGTCGCTGAGTTGGTTGACTTTGCTGCTGCCTGTCGTCTAGACTACGCTGCTAGCCTTGTCGCTGAGTCAGAGTCTGCGTCTGTCTGTCCTCCGTCCGTCGGGGGTGAGTGTGCTCTTGGCACGGACGTCCTTGAGGACAGGCAGGAGGACTTTGACTCACTTGCGGCTGCTGTACCTCATCTCGTGGCCTGGTTGCTTGCCCCTGAGGGAGACCCGGATGCAGTAGACATCCCCACTCCGCGCACTTACGCAGAGGCGATCTCGGGTCCCTACTCCTCTCAGTGGCAGACAGCCATGGACGCAGAGATGGCATCCTGGAAGTCCACAGGCACCTACGTCGACGAGGTTCCCCCTCCTGGGGCGAACATCGTCGATGGTATGTGGATTTTCAGGGTGAAGCGGCCGCCAGGTTCTCCGCCTGTCTTCAAGGCTCGTTACGTTGCTAGAGGCTTCAGTCAGCGTCAGGGGGTCGACTTCTTCCAGACCTTCTCCCCCACCCCGAAGATGACCACTCTTCGGGTTCTGCTGCACGTTGCTGCTCAGCGTGACTACGAGCTTCACTCTCTTGACTTCAGCACAGCGTTCCTGCAGGGCAGCCTGCACGAGGAGATCTGGCTGCGCCGCCCACCTGGCTTTACTGGGTCGTTTCCCCCTGGTACCCAGTGGAGTCTCCGCCGGCCAGTCTACGGTCTCCGCCAGGCGCCACGTGAGTGGCACGACACACTGAGGACTACTCTTGCGGCTCTTGGGTTCGCGCCGTCTACTGCTGACCCGTCGCTGTTTCTGCGCACAGACACGTCGCTGCCGCCGTTCTACATCCTCGTGTACGTCGACGACTTGGTCTTTGCTACTGCTGACACTGAGGCACTCGCTCGTGTGAAGTCGGAGCTGCAGAAGAGACACACCTGCACTGACCTGGGTGAACTGCGTAGCTACCTTGGCTTGCAGATCACCCGGGACAGAGCTCGCCGCACCATCACCCTGACTCAGTCACACATGGTGCAGCAGGTCCTTCAGCGCTTCGGCTTCCAGTTCTCCTCACCACAGGCCACACCTCTGGCTACCAGCCACTCGCTCTCAGCTCCACCTTCGGACGAGTCCGTAGAGCCGAGTGGCCCGTACCCAGAGCTTGTAGGCTGCCTCATGTACCTGATGACTTGCACGCGACCTGACCTCGCGTACCCTCTTAGCATCCTTGCTCGTTACGTTGCGCCTGGGAGACACAGGCGAGAGCACTGGGAGGCTGCTAAGAGGGTGCTGCGTTACCTGTGCAGTACATCAGGCATGGGGCTGGTGCTTGGAGGACGCGACAGAGTTGTCCTCACTGGTCACTCGGACGCCTCTTGGGTGGACGACCTGGCTACGCAGCGGTCGTCACAGGGTTACACCTTCAGCCTTGGCTCAGGTTCTGTCTCGTGGCGGTCCACCCGCTCTTCCTCTGTTCTCGGCTCTAGTTGTGAGGCTGAGATCTACGCCACAGCCATGGCTGCACAGGAGTTACGCTGGCTCACCTACCTGCTGACTGACTTGGGAGAGCGGCCTAGTTCTCCTCCAGTTCTGTACGGTGACAACAAGGCGGCTCTTGCCTTGTGTCAGGAGCACAGACTGGAGCACAGGACGAAGCACATTGCTCTTCGCTACTTTCTTGCTCGAGAGCTTCAGCAGCGCGGTCAGCTTCGGCTTGTGTACGTGGACTCGAAGGCCAACACTGCTGATATCTTCACCAAGGCGCTCCCGCCTAGTGATCATCAGCGGCACTGTACTTCTTTAGGCCTTGTGTCCACGTTTCCTCACTTGCTCACTGCTTGACATTCTTTGTACTGTACTTTACATGTATCTTGTTGCTTGCTTGCTAGGTTTTGATCACTGTGTTGCTTGTCTTGTACTATATCTAGCACTGCATGTGAACTGGCCTTGTGGCCTTTACTTGTGCTCGGAGTGTGGTGACGTTGTGATCCACCCTGGGCTTTGCTTTGCT